CCAATGATGCTCTATTGTGACAATCAAGTTGCTATCAACATTGCACATAATCCTGTTAAACATGACAGAACTAAGCACATTGAGGTTGATAGGCATTTCATAAGGGAAAGAGTCTCTTCAGGAGAAGTTTGTTTACCATTTATCACATCAGAAGAGCAACTGGCTGATATCTTGACCAAGAGAGTCCCCAGGGGGAAATTGACACACTATATAAGCAAGMTGGGCATGATTGACATCTATGCTCAGCTTGAGAGGGAGTGTAAAGAGACTAGGCCGAATGGGCCCTAACAGCCTTTCGTGTGACATCCTTTATTTTATCTTTTATTTTATGTTGACGGGCCTCACTTAATGGGCCTGTTATTTGTTCTTATTTTATTTTCTTTATGTAACTGCTAAGCTGGCCGCCCACTTAAGGGTATACTTGTCATCATCAATTTTTTAGAGATTAATAAAATAGGGTTAGCGGAGAAGGGTGATTAATTCGACTTCTTCTTCTCTTACCTCTTCTCTTTGCCATCTTCTTCTCTTATACAGTTATTCAGATCTGTTCTGTTCTGCTAATCACTAAGTCTAATCTTGATATTAGAGAATTGATTTACATYTGAAACCAAACTGTTTAGCAAATTTTAGACCATGGAGTAGTCTGCACAGCTAAGCTATCAAAGCATTACCATCTGCCAAGGGTCGAATATAATGCCAACACCTTTCCTTCTGTGTCTTGAAAGACCCGTCCCAGTCCAGCTGGGGCCAATTACCAATGTAACTCTCATCAAAATAAGTTTAACAAAATTGGTTGCTGGGGGCCTCCATTCCATAGATACTCTTTCCTTATCTTGAACTGGTAGAGCATCTTACTTCCAAGTTCTCAGAATGTCATTTAGTGAGGACACTTGGAAATCCTCTAGGGTCTTCACCCAATGTACTCGAAGGGCCAACTTTTGACTTCACAACCTAAGAACTTTGCTATTCTAATGACTTCCTCCTCTTGCACATTCAGACCCACYAGACAACTCTTCCCCAAGTTGATCCTCAAATTAGATAATTTCTCAAAGGAACTGACAAGGGTCTTTAGGTTTCTAAGGGACTCAAGGCTAATTTCGTCACAAAACAGAATTATGTCGTCTACAAATGGGTAACTACAACCTCAGCCCTTCCTACCCTCAAGTCTCTAATTAGGTTATCCATATCTGCCTTTATGATCATTTTACTTAGGACCTCTACAATCAAAGTGAACAGAAAGGGGGATAAAGGATCACCTTGTCTCAAGCCTCTTTTAGCTTGGAAAAAATCTCTAGCAGACCCCCTGATCAGAATTAAATATTGCACTGAGCTCGAACAACCTTTAATTCACAATCTCCACCTTTCCCCCAATCCAAATCTCTCCATAATTTCAAGAAGGAAGGACAAATCCACCAAGTCATAAGCCTTTCTGGGGACATTATTTTCCTAAGCTTGTGCTAATATTCATGTTAGATGTACTTTGAAGAAAAATACAAGCATTGAATAAAATTGGTGGCATAAGTATGTGCCTTTGTGGTGGATTGGGCCCTCCCCATCTTAGAATTTAAAGAATTGAATAAAGAGGATTTTGGAGTTAACCTTTGGTCCTTGCTGGAAGTTATCAAGGGGGAAATACAACCATAAACCATGAGTTGTATCATCTTTTTCTTTTCTTACTTGGACATATTGTTTTAGTGAAAACTTTTTACTCGCAGATTGTAATCTTTTTTTCCCTATTTTAAGAAAATTCCCTTTTGTATTTACTATACAAAGTTTATATACTTGTAGGCCCAAGAGAATTCCCATAACTGAAAAAATACATGTAGTGGCATGTACATCACTTCTGGTGTTTGCTTTCTCTTAGTTACTATTCTTTTTATTTTGTGGATTGTTTTTTGAGGTTAGACTTGAAGTGTCAACCTTTTAGTTATTTCTTTACTTCAATTCTGCTATTGGAATGAAATTCAACATGGTAGGACTGGCAGTAGAAGTATAGAACATTATTATTAATTTTCTTTATTTTCTTTCCTTTATCATCAGATAGATTATTTAATTTATTAAGATTCTTCTTTCCCTTACTCTCTATAAGAATCCTTGAAATGATATCTTTTAACAAAGGATGAAGTCAAGAATGTTTCAAGGCATAGTTTGGGTTATTTGAAGGTGTTGCTCCTCTTTGGATTCTCCAGATCCCTCACAAAATGGGTTCAAAAGTTTTTTTTTTTTTTTAGAAAGACAAAAGTGATTATATTAATGAGAAGAAAAGATATAGTAAGTTTACTTCAATATGTAGATGGTGCAGTTTTCCTTTTGTGATGCCAAGGAGACCAAATTTGTCACCTAAAATATCTATTATATTGGGTGGAGGTAATTTCAGGGTTCAAGGTCAATCATGGCAAAAGTGAGATGCTAGCTGTCAGAGACATTCAGAATATATAAGAGCTGGCTGGCAGCAGGATGTGATAATGTCTCTTTAACATCCAAATGCCTGGGGCTATCACTAGATGCTAAATGTACAGCAAGTTGTGTCTGGGACCCAATCTTGGGAAAGGTTGAAAGGAGGTTGGCTTCATGGAAAGCTTGGTATCTCTCCAAGGGAGGTAGAGTCACACTAAAGTGTTCTGTTAATTTTGCCGGGCTATTACATGTCTTTATTTTCAACTCCAGCAAAGGTGGTTCATAGGTTGGAGAAGACGATGCAAGACTTTCTTTGGTCAGGTTCATTTAAGTTCCATTTGGTCAATTGGGAACAAGTCAGTAAGCCAGTTATCCCCTGGGTATTTGAAGAGTAAAGTTGTTTAAATTTTCCCTCTTGGGCAAATGGCTTTGGCTTTTATTTGAGGAACCAAACAGTTTGTGAAGAAAGGTTGTAGCCAAAAACATGGTATTGGATATCTTTGATTGGGATGCTTCTGCCTCTCATATTTCATATGGCTGTGGTGTGTGGGATTCAGGAATGATTCCTGGAGTGATGACTCCTCTTTGAAAGATGCTTTTCCTGTTTTATACATGATAGCCGATTGTTTTTCTTTAAGGGAAGGGGAAGTGGTATGGGCCCCCCAATTCAGGCAGAATTTTAATGATGGTGAAGCTGCATTCAAAACAAATAGACATGTTAAATCAGGACCACAGAGTTTGGAAATGGAAGCAGGATGGCAACTTTATGGTGAAATCTTTCTACCGGTATCTAATTGGGAGAAAGCAGGTAGCTTTCCTTGCAGAACTATTTGGAAATCTGCAGCTCCTTCGAAGGTATAATTATTTGTATGGGTCTTTAGCTCATTGACGAAGGAAAACCTGATCAAGAGGGGTCTGAATATGTTCAATCCTCTCTGTCCATTGTGTGGTTTGAAGCAGGAAGGGTCTACTCATCTTTTTCTCCAATAAGCCTTTATGGGAGAATTTGGCATTACTTTCAGCAAGCTAATGCATTCCAATGGTGCTTCCTGAAGTCAGTTTTAGATCTGTTAATGCAATGGAAGGTCTGGGTATGCCGACGAAAGGAAAGGTTATATGGACAACTATGCCCTTACCCTTTGGGAAATTTGGATGGAAAGGAATGCACATCCTGCTAAAGCTGTAATGAATCAAGCTTTTGATTTTTTGAGATCTTGGCTTGCCACTCATATTTTGTTCAAAGGAGAGCTTAGACAATCTTTTCTGACTTTTTTGGAGTCCCCTCTTGGTTTTGAGGCTTTATACAGAATCTTGTTGTACATAGGGCTTTGTATGCATCTCTTTTCTTTTGAGTGAATTATACTTTACCTTTCTCAAAAGAAGAAAAAAAAAAGAAAAGATGTAGTAAAGCTTGTTAGAGTGTTATTTGCTATTTCTTTTCTTAGTATTTCATTCAGTATTCATATTCTATAAGTTGGCTTATGTATAGTTGGCATTAATTACTTTGTGGTGATTAATTGCTTTTCTATATTAAAATTTTAGGTCAAGGTTGCACCTCTTCTTGCAAGGTCTAATTTGCTTATAACTAGAAGTATAGAGTGGGCAAATCTTATGCTTGGTTTTGAGCAGGTAATTCGTTTAATTTCTAAATTCTTAATGAAATGTTTTGCAGGATTATTATCATCATTGAAATACTCGTGCATGTCATTTTATGTGTTTCAAAAATGTTATAGCATTTCTATATTACATTATTTAGGCTTTAGATTATAAATCTTTTAGTCAGTTAGCTGGTTGAAATGGTCATGGTACAAAGGCTTCTTTGGTTGTAAGCGAAAATGTGAGGCATAATGTGATATTAAGTTTTAGTTTGTATCTTTGGTTATGGTTTTACTTGTTTCCTCTTAGAGAAATATGGTCCCATTATCATCTCTGAACTCTGTCTTTTGAAAATATATTTCTGGATTTGAGTCTCCTTAATCTTTCTTCACTGGTGGGTTCATATTTTGGGCTTTTCTTCTGTCATTGTGTCATAGTAAAATGAAATGCAGAACAAAGGATTTACTAATTTGTTGAGCTTTTACCAAGTTTTGGTTTCAGTCAAACTGGAAACAGTAACTGATATAATATGCATGAAATCTAATATACATTTTTTGTGGATGTGTTGATCGAGCACTGATTACTGTGACAGGCTTGGTTGCTATTATTACTTTCTACAATGGCAAAACAATTTGAGAAATGAGACTGTTTATGTTTTTTGCCTACTGCAACTGGATGGGGGGCACATTGCACAATGTCATTTTTTGTCACTGATATACCGTTCTGGTCTTAGATTTTGAACAATTTCTCCACTACTGCAGTTGTCCACTTTTTTTTTTTTGTTTTTTCCTGTAAATTAACGTGTTGCTTTCTTTTTCTTTTCTTTTTTTTTTTTTTTCGTATTTGTGTGTGTGTGCATGTGTGTGCGCTCTCAGTACTAAGTCTTTCCTGGAATTGCAGGAGAACCAGTATGCAGTAGTAGATCCATGCTATCCTCAGACAGTATGTGACACACCTCTGTACTGTAACCAGTGACTAAAAGAAAAACCAGATTGTGTGATTGTCTTGCAAAAATTTCATTTGAATTTATACATTTTCTTTTATTTCCAGCCTGCGGGTTTTATACGTGAGCAGAGTAATATCATTGCTAGACAGGTATGATAACTGGTCTTGTTGTTTTCTATACACTTTATACATAGATATATAACCTTGTGCAATTTTAGGGGAAGCCTATATGGTTAGAGAAACATATATGGTAGGGGATTTTTTTGATTACAAAATAGAATAAAATATAATTCATTAAGAGAGAGAGAGAGAGAGAGAGAGAGAGAGAGAGTGACATTACATGAAATAATCTAAAAGGAAATAAACACCCTAATCATCCACATAAACAGAAATATCCCCACCATAATCAAATCCATAGCTCCCATACAGAAAAACAAACAAGTTATATTCAGCACTTCTAAATTTTCAAAAGGAAAGACCGACAAAAAAAGATCTTGGATTTATGACACTATCCAAGCCTACATACCTTAATTTACAGCTATCAACCCCTTTCCAGCAAAATAGATCCCTCTATGGTAAAAAACCAATCTTGAGCAGCTAGCCTTTTCTTCACTTCTAAGTAGAAAGCACCTCCTAGTGTAATTTGATGCAAACATGCAGCATATCCTTTTTTTATGATAGACTTGATGCTAGAATAAAAATTTTATAAAGAAGAATTAAATACAAATAGGTCTTATCAGCCCAAGCACAAAAAGAGAGCCCCATCTAGATATGCAATCATGCAACAAAACTTCCCATTGCTCACAAGATGTAAAGACCCCAGATAAAGTGGGGACAATATCAGATATACGAAATCTACAACTCTGTTGAAGGCAATTTTTTAATCCAAATAATATTTAAATAAATTGAATTCAAATAAGTGGGTTGGCTAGTCTGTTAGCAAAATCATTAAAACTATAAAAAAGTATTCCATACGGGAGTTCCCTCTCTTTAAGTGGGAGGGACAGATGTCCTTCACCTAGGAGGAGGAGGTAGTTACATAACTACCCCACTCCCTATTTAAGCTCCTTAAGGGGAAGCTAGAAGCACAGATGGAGATACTCTTTGGAGAAAATTGTCACAAGAGATTACTTATCTTAAGAAAAGCAAAGATAAGGAGATAAGAAAAGAGAGGTGCTCAAGGGAAGGCAGGGAAGGAAAAGAAGTTTCGCTAATACAGGTAGGAAAAGGAACATCCTCTCAGAGAATACTTCCTATATATGTCTTCTGCTATGTATCCTTCTTTCTCTCTCTCTTTTATTTTCAGTTTTGAGAAAAGAAAAAGAGGGAAATAAACCATCTACGACCAGGTACTTCTACTTGGTTGAGTATGGTCCCTCTTCCAAGACAAATCTTGGGATTAAACCATCAAAAGTCTAATTCTCAAAGACTGATTATGGTTCCCTTCAAATAAAAATGAAGAACAAGGGAATAAAATCGTCTACAATCAAAATGCAAATTGATTGACTACGGTTCCCTTCTTGTCTGCAAAATCCCGAAGGGTTAAGGCTGTCTACAATCACAATTTCATTTGATTGTCTACAACTTATTGTGAAGAAAGGAGTGAGAAGGAGATCTTTTTTGTATCAAAAAGAAAAGAGAGAAATTTATTGTTGTAGAGTTTTGTTTTCTTCTCATTTTTGTAACACTTGATGTAAAAGAATTGCAAGTGAAAAGTTCTTTTAAAGTACTCTATTGTTCTTCTCTTTTGTTCTGTGCATTCATTTCTCCAAGCCAGATTAAAAAGGTGTTCTCTACTTTCTTGTGGAGATGTAATTAAGGGGAACAATCCGTATGATTCCCTGAAGGGGCTTTACCCAAAATAATAAGAACTCAATCACTTGATTGAGTGAATTATGTTGCATGAGAATTTATTAAAATTTTCACACCAACAAACTCCTGCTCAAAATAGCCCCACAAAACTTGATGACCCTCATGTCCAATCTACCTAACATTGGCAAACCTTCCCTCATGAATCCATGTGTGGCATACCACCCAGCCCCTACATTCACACAGACACTACTAATAGAAATTTGGTTTGTATTTAGTTTAGGAACACCAAAGATAGAAGAAAAGGTCAAGTCATCAGTTATCATAACATCTTTTTAGAAATAAAATTAAGAGATCCATTGGCAATGGATACCTTATCATTGCCAGAACATAAGGAACTAGACTAGAATAAGAAAGGTAAGATAGTCATATGGTCAGAAGCCCTTGAGTCTATTATCCAAGAGATATTTTGATTACTTGTTACCAAGGCATGATTAGCAATGGCATGGGTACCTGTATGTGCAAAGGCAGTCGATCCTCTTCCAGAAGATGTAATTTCTACCAAACTCTCCAACTGTCTCAGATACTTGCTGTACTTCTTGAATTCTTCTGTGTTCACAACAAGTGTCTTTTGTGGAGGCAAACTAGGTGGAATAGGAGTAGATGCAGGCTCCTCCAGTGTTGTAGTAGCGATATTAGCATTACTCTTTTTACCATCTCGAAATCTGGCAGGTTTTAAAGTGTGGATGTATCTCTCAACATGTATCCTTACTATGTTTGGGTTTTTACAAGTTACAATGTTTACATACCACCTCCTTCTTTCCTACATGATCACCAGAACCCTCTACTGGACAAGATTAGGTCTAAATGTGGCCACATGTTCTGTAAAATCAGGTAGTAATTGCAACGTAACTCTCCTCTCTTAACTATGCACAAGAGGATAAACTTGTGAGGGCAACAAGTCTCTGAGTTTAGTCTTGTAAGTAAATCAAGCATTTTGTTCCTCTTCACCATTCTCTTGTGAGTTATCAACATCCCTCTTATCACCACTGTATATTGCCTGCAAAAGGTTAATTTCCTTCTAGTAGAATTGTAGTGTAAAGCGCAAGTGGCATCTCCTCCTGCTTCAGATTATTCACCTGCATCCTCAGATAATACTATATAATTCTCTTGTATCCATTGTGATTGATGGGGGTCTTAGGATCTGGTTCTACAGCATTCCTAGATGCTTTGTACCATCTAACTTCACTATAGTGGTAATCCCTTTAGTCTGGAGCAATGTTTTAAAATGCAGAGGTGTGATGCGAGGCATTCCACTACCTAGAGGTGTGACGTGCAGTTCAGAATGCAAGAGGCGTAAGCCTCCTGAACACAAAGGAGGCGTAAGCCTCCTTTAAGAGGAGGGGGGTTAGGAGGAGGAAGGGGGGATCTCATTTTTTCTTTATTTTTTATAAAAATATTTTATATTAAGAAGAATAAATATGCATAACATTAGTTGAAAGGGGGGGGGGGTCTTGTCGAAGCGGAGGTGAGCGAGCTCGCTAAAGCAGGGGGGCCTAGGGGGCGAAGCCCCCCAACCGAAGGGGCAGGGGGCAAACCACTTTCTTTCCCCTTATCTTTTCTTCCCTTCCCTTCCCTTTCCTTTCTTTTCCTTTCCTTTTTTTTCTTTTTTTTTGTCTTTTTATATAAGATGTGCATGAGGTGTACGCCTCATGAAAAAAGCGCATATGGCATATGCCTCAGAGGTGTCAACGCCTCTGGCATACACCTCAGGGCGTTTTAGGAGCACCTCGCCTGGAGGTGCGCCTCCAGGCGTACACCTCCCACGCCTTTTAAAACACTGGTCTGGAGATTCCCAGCTCCTCTCAGCATAGTTCCAAATGCCATACCTTGCTTCCAGTCACTTCCAATAGCTTCTGTTGATTTTAAATGATCATTTTTTTTCAAAAATATCCCAAAACAATATTTGAAGTAAGATTTTGACCTACAGTTCAAGAATCAAAGCTCAGGGTTGGACCAACCTTGGCACCAATGAGAAGAAAGAAAAGGAGAGACACTTTCACTAGACACCTTGGTTTTGGATGTCCCTCCAATGGGTGTCGATCTCAACAAGGGTCTAAAATAAATCAAATAAACCTTGAGTACCAACCCCAAGAAAATTCTACAACTCTTAATCGGTTTTCACTTGACATTTCTGATTTTCCTTGATTTTTGGGTATCATACTCTAGGAAACACTTCTAGGCAGAAAAACATCAAATATCTCAAAAAATCCTTAAAGAAATCAGGTGACACCAACAATGGTGATCAGCTTCTAACACCCATTTACACTGCTGGTCCTACCTATACATGGGTTTCACACACATAGAAGTATAGAAAACTGGCTCTGATACCTACTTGATGATTAAATAGCAAGTAATCAAGGAAAAATCAAAGAAAAATAGGAGAAAGAATTTGGGAACAGTTGCTGTAAAGAAACAAAGAAGAGAATGAAGGGAAGAGTGCACTGATCGTGGGTCACAATGTGAGATCTGACTAACTTTTATATTTACTTCGTGTAGCTAAAAAATAAAATTACATTTCTGCCATTAACAGTCTAATAACAAGTAAGAAGAACATCCCAATAAAGAAAAAAAACAAGGACAACAACAACATGTAATAACAGACCCAAAAAACTGATATAAAAGAAGATATATATGCTGGTTCAATTTGTCAACAAATTTCAATGTTGGAAGGTGTATCTTTCTGCAGAAATAGGGTTCTCTTTGTTTCATATCTTAAATTCTTAAGATTAGTTGGTTTTGAACACTCAAAGGCATTATTGCCTTTCTCTATTTTTAAACTTTTTCAGGTTATAGTTGATGTTTCTCCTACATTCATCTTTTGTCTTTCTCCTTGTTACTGAGTGTGGACCTATTAAAAAAATTTCTATAGGTGCTTCGCACAAGGCGTCCTTTCCTTGCTTATATCACTGATGCCATGGGTAATGAACTCTTTAGGGTGAGGAATGCACATTCTTTTCCTTGCATGTGGTTGCGATTTTTCATCTCTGTTAGTTCTTGATATAATACTTCTATATTTTGATAGCTTGTTTACTACTAAATCTAGGTTCACAGGCCATTTTGGTGGATAACCAGCACAATTTATGCGGAGATAAATGGCAAGGTGTGGGCATTTGGTTTCGTTTATAAATTACATCTCATACTTCGTTGGAATTTGATACCTTGGCATACTTTTAGGTAAAAGGAGATTGACTTTGTAATTCATTCCATGTTGTCTTATTGTTTATAGGAAATTGGTGTTGTTCACAGGCGATGGCATCTTTGGAAAAGAGTGTATGATTTGTATTTAGGGTAACATGGCATTCTTTGATTTATATTTTTGTTATTTACTGAAATCTAGTCATTTATAGAAAATAAATGTTTATTCCATAAACTTCTCTCATTTAAATCCTTATTTCTTTCATTTGCTCTAATCCCTGTTTTGTTCATTTCCTTTTGGGTTCTGAATCTATACAATACAGCCTTAGTAGGCATTGTTTAAACCCTATGAAACTATCTCAAGTTATTGTTAAACCTGGTAGTTCTTCCTTCAGCTGTCTTTGGTGGTGCCTGATAACTGCTGAAACAGGTGCTACAAAATGAAAGACTCAAATCATAAAAACATCTTACACTTGGGTATATTTGTAGTATATGATCAAAATTTTAGGGTTAAAACAATCATCCCAGTGCCTCTGCTTAAGTGTTAACAAATAGGTAGGTCTTAAGTTACTGAAATGCTCAATGGGGTATTTTTTAAATTTGGGATCTTTTCTGCATTCTGATTTCAGCACTTAAGCACAGTTATCAAAAACAATATGAATATCTTATTTTCTAGGATCTATTGCTTCTTTCAATACCAACTTATGCTCAAATAGCCCTAATTAGTTCATTCTTTCATCCATGTAAACACTTTCACATTTAACTTCGATCCTATCTGTAGTTCCACACTGAAATCTTAATTTTTTTTATCAGTAACAGAGTTTATACTTTTTCAGTAACTAGACTTTGTGCATATCTTCCATAGTGTTCAAGGCGCCAAGGTGAACCTAAGCGACGGGGGAGCGCTTAGTCGCCTGGTTGCCTAGGCGGGCACCTAGGCGTTGCTTAATGTCTAAAAAAAATAAAATAAAAATGGGATGAACCCCTATTTTTTCCGTTGAAATAGAAATATCGGAAGGGCATAGCCCCTATCTTTCTTCCAGAAAAAGAAACAGACCTGTGTTTTTTGTTCCAAAAAAAGAAAAAGGAGGGGCGCAGCCCCTGTTTTTGCTCCAAAAAGAAAAAAAGAAAAAGGAGGGACGGAGCCCCTGTCTAAAAAGTGTGTTTTTGATCAATAACACACTTCATTAAATTCATTAATACTTTCAATGATAATTACAAAGAGGAAGACAAACTTTCTTATCTTCCAACTATAACTTGAGCCCCAAAAGAAGGAAAAAGAAAAAGAGAAAGAGAAGGAGAAACAGAAAAAATAATTACAACTGTGCCCAGAACATTGACTCCCTCTCCACCCCTTGTTTAGCTAAATCAGCTGATCTTTTTATCCAGCTGATTTTAACCTCCATTTCTCGAGCCAGCCATCTAACTTTCCTCCTCATATTGCTGTAATTCCATAAGCCACTGTAGTCTTTATTCAGCCATCCAACCACCACCTCCGAGTGCCCTTCAATTACAAGTTTTCTGATATTCATCTCCTTGGCTTTCTGGATTCCTTCCATAACCACATGGATCTCGGCTCTGAGAGAGTCACCCACTCCAATTGGGCCTGAGAACATGGCAGAAACAACCCCATTCTCATCCCTGAAAAGACCCCCAACCCCTGATGTCCAGGATTCCCTCTGCAGCTACCATCAAAGTTTAGTTTTATGAAACCCGCAGGAGGGGGGGAGTCCAAGACACATTCATCACTGTTTTGGTCTGGGTACTGTTAGCAGTTTCACCTCAATTCCTCAACATGTCATCCACTGTATAATATGTGAATAGTTCTAGTGATTTCATCCACTGTACCACCCTTATAAGGATCAAAGCCCTCAATTCATTAGTACTTCTCTCTACTTCCGAGAAAATCCTAGCATTTCTTTCTTCCCATAAGGACCAGCAAACTGCAGCCCTCAATCCTCTCCACATAATGCTGCCCCTTTTCATGTGCCACCTGAAAAAAGGAGAAAACAGATTTTGCAAATATGATGGAGGGTTCTAACTACACCCAAATGGGGAAAGAGCCCACTCCCAAATAGACTTTGCATATTGGCAAGACACCAGTAGGTGAAAACTCGTCTCCCCATCAGCTTTACAAAGAACACACCAGTGAGGGGACAAACAAGTATTGGGTCTCTTCTTTTGGAGCAGATCACCAGTGTTGAATCTTTCCAGAAAGGCTTCCCAGCAAAAACTACCAACCCTAGGAGGGATTGGTTTGTACCAAACCTCAAGAACAGGAAAAAGGAGGGCTATAGGACTGGTGGACTAGCTTAAAACTTTGAAGAAAGAGGCACAGGAGAAAGAATCAGTGGGGGTAGGAGTCCAAATTCTAGAGTCCACCTTAGCAGGGTCTAAGAAAATATTGTCAAGAAGCTAAAGAAGACTCGAGATGCTGTCAAGGTCTGAGTCTCTCACAGCCCTTCTCAAGCTCAAATTCCACCCAAACCTAGAAGTGGAAGAGGAGGGAGTTATGAAGGAGGAAACTGGCTCATTTTTAAGGTTAGAGAGTGCATACAAAGAAGGAAATTGGTCCTTTAGAGGGGCATCCCCCACCCAAGTTTGTTCCAAGAATTTTTTAGCATTACCTGAGTTCAAGTCATACCTGGGTTTGATTGGAAGGATGAGTGGGGGCATGGAATGTTGTCCCATCCTCCCTTTCTTGTTCAGAAGGTTGGTCAATGTCTGTCTCCCTGAGTTGGTTGGTAAGCCTTTCTGTCCTTTGGGCAATTTGGCAATCTGTGTTCTCTACCCAATGTTTATCCCTTATTGGTGTGTTCCCGTTCTGCCTCAGGTTCTCCAAGTTTACCCCTTCTTTTGCACCTTGCACTATCGAAAGTCTTGGGAGCGCTACATTCTGACTAATGTCTTCAGCCTCATTTACATCATAAGATCCAACTCTTCCTTCATCAACTATCAGATTTCTATGGCCGTCTGGGTTCAATCTCCATTTCTCCTCTATGTCCTCCTGGAATAGGCTTGTAATGTTCAGCATGCCCAAGTCACCTATGTTGTACTCACCATCATCATTCACGCTTCCAATGCCGGTACCCTCATCCAAACTGTCCTCCGGCTCTTCGTTGTTTACTCCACAGTGCACCCAACCTTCATCCAATTCCTCCCTTTCTCCAGTTCTCTCTCTTGCATACCTGGGATTCGATTTCTATGAGAAACGATGCAAAGAACAAGGGTCTTCATAGTTTCGGCAGGGCACCCACTGTAGATCACTGTTGTTCTCGCTCCACCACTGCAGTTTTCTCCTTTCTGAAATCGCCGCATTGGAAGAAGATAGACCAGAAGGTCTATCTACAGTCGGCACACTTACCAGCCCCTTAGCCCAACCCACGTGAGGCTTTAAGTTATCACGTGGGTCACTAACACATCCCCCCCCCAGTTCAAATGTCGACCCGCTCGACTTCTTTTCCAGCTCTCTGCCCCGACCTACGTGAGATTTTAAGTTATCACATGGGTCTCTGCTGATACTCCCCAGTTTGAAAGTCAAGCCACCCATAATTTTAACCGGCTCAGATTGAGCCATTCGGCAGCTCGAGTCACTTATAATCTTCGCCATATCAGCATATGATGGGCCGACCACCTGACATTTCGCCTTAAATATTTTTGAATTATTTCCTCTTTCAATGTGGCTGCCCAATACCCCTTTGGAACCTGACTATTCCTCTTCCCCCAAAAGTTCCCCCTGTTCTTTTCCTTCCCCTCCCACTAACACTCTGTCACGTATGCTTCCTTCCTCCATGTCACCTTCTTCTTCCTCCTTCGAACAGCTCCTCAACAGAGACACTTCCACTTCCGTCAGGACCCAAATCTTCCTCCATAGTCCATCCAAGAAGAAAGTGACCAGACGGTCCTCCGGCTTGATCCCCCGGATTCTTACTTTGATCTCTGTCAAGTCACTGAAGCTGCATTCCTCCATTAATCCACCCATCGTGTGGACTATTTTATCTACTATCGACTTATTCCAGAAATTGAACGACACCCCAAGAAGAAGCAACCTACTGACTACTGTAATATCTCGCTCATTACAGGACATACACCATTCTTCGATGATGATCAAACCTTCCTTTGTTTCAATAGAAGAGAGTTCTATTTTCGCCTCCCCTATGTCAAGAATGGCTCTGTTTTCACTAAACGGCACCACAAGAACAGGTTTTTTAATGCTAAAACTCTTCATTATTTCCTCTGCAATGAGCTGCCAGTCCTTAATCCTTTTTCCAGCTATCAACACAAATTTGTTCTTCCATTTCTGCTTATCAACTTCCAACTCCACTTTGCTCAATTTAACAGAGCAAGTAAGTATTCCTCCACTGCCTTCTGAGTTATTTGCTCTCCCTTTCCTACCAGAACACTCTCACTCTCCCCCACCTCTGCATTCTCCGTTGGAATCTTTTGCTGAACCTTTTCATTCATCTCTGTCAATACCAGGTACTCCTGTAGCTTATCTGCAAAACACTTCCAACCTGTCTTCCTATTTCCTTCCGGAATACACACAAACTTCCTGTTGCTTTCCCCAAAACGTTCTGTTATAACTGTGAACCACCCCTTTCTGTTGTTTCTCAGCTCAGCTATAAAGTTTTTCCTTCCCATATTCAACTGACCTTTTTTTTTTGATGAATTATTCAACTRACCTTTTCATCCAGCTTGTTTCTTGCTGTAAGTAACTGCATCCACAAAACCCTTCATCCAAATCACTGCATCCCTGCAAAGAAAAATAGTTGTTTTTTTCTCTTCTCTGATCTTCAGGCACACCTGTCCCTTGTTTCTGCAAGCTTCAAACACGTGCTTCTTGGCTTCGAGCTCCAGCCTTCTTCTCCATGTAGTCGCTGGCTTGAACTCCATCGCTCTGATAGTTATCTTATTCCCTCTTTTTATGAGTTTGAGTTTTGCTTGAACTCACTCTACCATGGAATTTTGATCATTTGGAAGAAGAAATAATTTCCAGAGCCCCTGTTTTTGCTCATAAAAGAAAAAGAAGAAAAAGAAGAAGGGGCAGAGCCCCTGTTTTTTGTTCCAGAAGAAAAGCATACCTCGTATCAGTGTATGTGATTGATTTCCCTAGCATACGTCGTATCAGTGTATGTGATTGATTTCTCTTTCTTGTTCAGAGACACCTTGATGAGGATATCTCTCGAACTCTTTTCGAATATCATATCTCTCAATTAAGAAGATAAGGAATTAATAAAAACTTATTATAATATGAAAAAATAAAAAAAATGATTTGGTGCATCATGTCTATGCTTATATTATGGACTTATAATATAAAAGAATATTGAATATGCAAAACTTAACACAGGTTATATATAATCATATGGCGTTTGGGCGAGCGAGACCCAAAAAGCGCCTACACGCCTAGGCGTCACCTTGACAACTATGATATCCTCATATCATGTACTTAACCAGTCTGTCTGTTCTGGACTAACTTGGATCCTTTTGGTATGAAGGGTTATTTAAATTGCAATTTAGAATTTTGTTTGTTCTGGAGATAAATTATATGGTCCATTACAGTACCAGGAATTTAATATTTTCCCACTATATTGTACAGGAAAAAACAGTTTGCAGTGGTTGAAAATCCTGGGTTTTGGAACTGGACATTTACTTTAAAAGATATCAATGGGGATGTGCTAGCTGAGATTGATCGTAATTGGAGGGGTTTCGGCTTTGAGGTCTCATTTCTTTACAGTTTTTAATCTTTATTATTTAGTTTGTAAGAAAGTGTATTATCTATAGAGTACTTGGTGGTATTTGCTTTCTTTGTTGTTTATTGTTACCCATTTAGTCTGGTGCTCACTTTGCTCCCAAGTGGCCTAGTCTAAGAACAAACTATTACCAGAGTTAACATTTTTCCCTAGTCATCCTTCTACTTAATTATTTGTGAAGTTTGAAGATTCTGTATTGCTTAATTTTCAACATAAATCTGTTTTTGGTTTGGAAAGTGGAAGCTAAAGGGCCATTACCTAATAATGGTTCTGGCTATCTGGGTATTGGCAGGGGTAGTTGGATACAGACCTTAACTTTGGCATTTTTCTTTTCTACAAAGTGGTTTCTCCCATACTTGAACTCTCATTTTCATGCTTGTCATCAGGAAATTTTACCATTACATTAAATCTATGACCCATGGAAAGTGGAAACTTTATTGAGTATGATAATGATGTTTTATGAAGCTTCCTGATCTTTTCTACATGGTTCTTTTGCCTCTTAATCAAACTTTCAACATGGTTTATACAAAGAAAATACCAGTATCATAAGATATCATGCATGGAAAGTAGGGGGGGATGCAGCAATCAAGAAATTGTTGCCCTTTGTTAGTGTTAGGCACTGAAATTAATGGCCTAAGGGATATAGATAACATGTGTTGCAGCTCTTCACTGATGCCGGTCAATATGTGATCCGATTTGGACATGCTGATTCCACCCCTAGGACGGGCCCTGCTGAAATGGTAAAATTTCAATGCGGAATATCTGAGTATAATTTCTAACTTGGCCATATTATTTTTTATCAATTGTTGCTCATTTATGTTTCAGATTCCAGACTTGGAAGTCGTTCGCCCATTGACTCTATCAGAGAGAGCTGTTGCCCTTGCTCTTGCAGTATCACTGGATAATGATTATTTCTCAAGGCATGGAGGCTGGTAAGCTTTAAATGAAGTCCATCCCTGTTGAAATTTATACATATTTTTTTGTATGCCTGTTTCCCAGACGATGGCCGACAAAGCTCTAGTTATAAGAAGGTTTACAAATGACATGTTTGGAACTCAATTACAAGAGAAGCCATACCAAAATAGCAATAGCATATTCAAATTATGACTTTAGAAACCAATATCACTAACCTGGTAGACCAAAACACTAGTCCCTGAAGAAGCTTATGAAAACTCTTCTGAAAAATTTGCACGTGTGTTTTCTGAGGATGAAAACTCTTGACCAGCTAATGAAGTTCTGATGGATAAAGTTGAACATAATTTGAAACCAAGATGTCAACTGGGGCCAAATAGCCATGGCTGATGTGGTGAGTTTGGGTGTCAAAGAGGAAGAAGTGGTCTCAGCTTTGTCAGAAGAAGTGACAGAAAGGGGTTAGCTGCATCCCTTGGTCTTGAGGATATCTCTAGCTTACCTTCAGTATATTAAAGTGGAAAAACAGGATGTTCGTGTTCCTATTTACTTTTTCCCGTGGAATATTGAATAGATGATGCTCCTTGCTGCCTGAAACCAGGAAGGAAATCATTTCGTGGTGTCAAAATTTTAGAAAAGAAGGGATAGATAGAAATATACTACAGTAAAAAATGGAGTTCGTGCAGGCAGGTCAGTGGAGGAGATCCTTGAAGATAGAAGCAAAAAATTTCCTGTTCGAAGAGATGAGAATCAAGGGGAAGGTAAG